CCTGTAAGCCCCCCGGTTTCTGGTAAAGGAGCAGATGTTTGGGAGAAGATGCACATTCCCGTCTCCCTCGGACTTCCGTCTTACCTTCATAGCATGGCAGGGAGGTTCTGGCCCTTCGACTGCCTCGACTGGAGGCGGTCATCCAGTCACTATTCCCACCATCCCCAGGTTCTCACATTTCCCGTGGGAGGACATCTGTGTCAATGTCTGGTGCACCTTAGGTCATCCCTCTTGGTTTAATAGTCTCAGAATGAGTCCCACACTTGGTCCCCGGACTCCTCCCAGTGTGAAGTGATATCCTGCAACTCTTCTGCACAGGCACCTTCCTTGGGCCCGATGCTGTACTGTTTGGGGGTGTGCTGGCAGCCTGTCACGTTCCAGGAAATAAACATGGATGACGGCCCTGCATCCCGAGCATCGCTCTTATCCCTCATGACAGAACTATCTTAGGGGAAGTCCTTGAAACCTTCTGTCTTGGGGGCCTGGGGCGGCGGGGGGTAAGACTACGTCCCTCGGACAGGAGGGGCTGCTTCTGCCGCCACAAAACAGAAGATACCCCCCCCCCCCCCCAATGCTGCCTTAGGTTTTCCATGGCTCGCCCTAACCTCGCCCTGGCTTTCAATCCCTCCTGCTTCCCGTGTGTATGTCCAAAACAGCCGTCGGCCCCCACCCGCCCAGTCTCTGTAACCCCCACCATGGCCAGTGACGCCATGCCACAGCCCCCGGCCCGCCCAACCAGCACTCGTGAGAACGTGAGCAAACGTCGAGTCCCGGGTGTCCATTCCCACCCGCAAGGAAGCTACGAGTCTCTCCGTCCAAGAGAAGCGCCAGCCCATCCGGAGCCCCCCGGAGGCTGTTTCCCCGCGCTCCTCCCGGTCTGAGTTCGGGCGTACCGAGGGCCGCCCCGGGAAACCGACGGCGCACGCAGAGGCCGGCGCGGAGGGAGCGGACGAGGCTGGAGGCCGCCCGGCGGCCAGGGAGCAGCTGCACGAGCTGCACGAGCGAGACGTCCCTGCCAAGGCGGCAAGGTGAGGAGCGGCTCCTGAGCCTGAGAGGTCGGCACCTGCAGGCGAGGCCGAACTCCGAGGCCCGGCGCCCGCCCGAAACTGCGGGTCGTACAGGGTACGTGCTGCTCGTCGCTACGCGCGCGAACCCAGGCCGCAGCCAGCGTAAAGCAGAGGTGAACCACCTCGGAACGGTAACTAGGAGCAAGCGGGACAGCACAACGCCATGAGGCAGCGGCGGGGACCCGACTCCCGCTCACCCTACCTTCAACGCCGCGCTCACCCGCCCCGGCGCCGTGGGAGACGGGAACACGGCTACGCGCGACGACGCCACCGCGCGCCACGGCTCTGTGACGTCGTAAAGGTTCCTCGCTCTCCGCCCTCGCGGGGCTTCCTCGTGCTTCTTCGCATGATCGCCGGCTCGCCTGTTTCCCGTCGGGGCCGAGGGCAGAGCTGAAACCACCAGAACCGACTGTGGAGGAGGAGAGGGACGGCCCAGAGCAGCCCTAGGCCACCGTCCGGCAGGGGGACCGGGGAGAAATAAACACCCTGACCGCTTCCTTCCCGCCCCGTCTTCGCCTAATGGCCTCTCCCGTTTGCAAAAGCCAACAGGGCAAGGGGACTCTGGTTAATACAGTTCAAGTAATTAATGAACCTCTGGCGTACTGAGCAGGGTGAAGGCTGGAAAGTGGTTTAAGGGGGGCTCCCTGCTTATCCTGCACGAGCAGGAGCACAGAAAAGTGCAAAGCAGCCACAGACGAAAGAAGGGTGCTGTCAGGATCCCCACCTTCTTGCATGGCCAGCTAGGGACAACACTGTTTCCTGTCCCAGATGCTAACACACCACCGCCCACCCTGAGGAGTCTGGGTCCAGTGAGCTCGTTATTCCACATGGTTACACTTCTAAATAACACCCAGAGATCCCATCCTGATGTTTCCACCCTAACAGGAAAAATACAGGACGTGAGTACAGGACACTACACGTTCTGTAAGGGTACATACCTAAGGGGTTCAGTGCAAACAATGACCGGTGAGAGAGGCTGTCCCTTCTGAGAGCAGGCCTAAGCGGGGAGAGCGAGGGAGGTCTTCAGTTGCACGTGTGTGGGGGGGAGCACTCTGAAGTAAATACCGCAAAACAGCAGTTAAGCTAGCGTTACCAGGTGGCACTATTTCATGAAATCAGCACCAGCTACCAGTAAAGGCCCCCAGCAACCTCCCTGCCCCGGGAGGGCTTGTTAGAACACTTACTGGCATGCCCCTGAATTCCGTAGATTAGAGTTCAGACTCTGTATCTGGCCTATCTGGTCCAAATATTGAGTCCGCTATTCCACAGATGCAGGATTTTTAACAAAGTCCCTAACGTCACGCTACCTTTTATTCCCCCATCGATAAAATGTGGATAATACACCCTACTCTGGAAGGTTCTGAGGGTTGACTAGCTCGACACTTCTGAAGCACTTACCAAGGGAGAGAGCCAGTCTACATATGAATGAATACCTTGGGACAGAGAAGCCACTTGACTACTGGACATATGTCCAAAGACCTTTGCTAACCTCACATCCACAAACTCTATGATGATATATTTAGTTCCCCCATAAAATGAAATTAGCTCTATCTCCCCTTTGATTGAGTGCTGGTTGATGAACTGTTTTCAGATGTATTTTTGATCAAAGATGCATGTACCTACATACTTACGTATAAACCTATTTCTTCTTCAAGTTTGGATGGCAATAGTTCAGCTGGTGAAGGGGCTATTGGGTTACCCAAATCTAACTGGTTTCTGATACTGAGTAGTAAGAATAATGAAAAATTTAACTGAAAATTTACCCAAATCTACTTGATTCCCGAGTTTTAAATTGCAAGGGGTACATGAATATGCACACATTCCTACATAGACCCATTTCTCAAATCAATCCATCAGTTCCTATGCAAGAAACTACTAACAGAAACCAACGTACCTTGAGCAGTACAGTATAATGCAAATAATGGTTTTGGACTCAGCAAAACATCGTTAAGGATCAACAGCACTGTGGCCCAGCACAGCAGAGGATTCAACAATTAGCAGGACCAAACACTGCGCTTTGGTGGTGAGGGGAACAGAGCATCTGTGTCGGCAGCCGCCAAGTCTCTTACATCACTAAGGACACTGACCCTTCCTCGTATAAAGTCTCAAAACGTTATCTCCCATGTCCCCGTTGTTCTTAGGAAGCTACTTGAGGATATGCTAAGACAGGAGACAGAGGACATGGGAAATCTGGGAATCCAACGGAGGGGAGAGGCAAGCAACCCCCGGGAACAGTGAAAGGCAATTTCAGGATGATGGCTCTAGCAGCCACAGAAGGGACCAAGTCCAGACTGGACAAAACACATCGCCCCAGAAACAATTTTTTTGAGAAAATAGATGAAACCGATAGTACTGACAAGTCCCTACATCTAGCAGAGTTTGTGGTCACATCAGCAGTAAGCTTGTAGGAACCTACGCCAACAGTCAACTGTTAACTCAGGGAACTTAAAACTGTGGTCTGGGGTGAGAGGAACACCCCACCACTCCGCCGTGCACAATGTTACATCATCATCTAAATCAGTCTATAGCGTGAGCACGAAATTACAACCTAGTTCCGCTAGGCAAAGGGGAGCAGGAAGGAAGCGCCCAATGGACTGGGAGCAGAGGAGCAAACCTGACATTAGAAATTCGTGCCTCCAGTTAAAAATTCAAGTAAACGCGATAGAAGCACATTATTGGAAGATACAGGCATGGCAACAAGAATTCTGAGCCTGCTCTGGGAGAGGGGTAGGAAGGTGGGGAATGAGGTCAAGGGGATAGTATTTTTCATTCAGAAGAACAAATCAATAGATCCATTTGACTCTGTGAACTGTGTAACTTCAAGAAACAGAAAAACAAAACATGAAATCTAGCACAGTGCCTGGCTCATAAAAATTCAGGAAAGTTAACTGCTTTATTATCATGACAAGACAGATGACAGGTTTTCACTTCACCATTACATTCATGCTAGGGACAACACTGTTTCCTATTCCAGATGCTATACGGTCTTTTAAAAACACATTATTTACTATGCTTGGGATATTTGGGCATGCTTAATAAAATAAAAAAAAAATTACAAAACATTCTTTTTTTTTTTACTGAGCGAAGTACCTAATTTTATACAATTTACACACAATTTTTAATTTTAGTAACAGGAAACAATGACGTCATTTCATTTCTTGATATTTAACAGTAACAAGACTTGCACTCCCCAAGACATGCACTACGGCCAGAAAAGAGAGTCTGTCGTCAACAGGACAGTCTTGGCATCTTACATATTATGTTCCCACTTTAAGTTCTATTTGCTAGATTTTAAAAGACGCAAAGACAATGAACAAGTGGATCATAAAAAAGGAATAAAAACAGTCAATAACAACACTGATGTATCAATCTCATTTATGATTAAAGAAATACAAATTAAAAAAATAAGATACCATTTCCCACTTATATTGGCAAATATTAAATTTAAAAAGGGCTCCTATCTATAGCTGAGCAGGGAAAACGTAGTGGGGGGGATGGCTGGTCACACACCTGACACTAAGGACGGGGAAATCACAGGGCCTTTCGGGAGAAACCTGGCATTACTTATCAAAGCTCTAAGAGCGCTCAAGCCTTGGGAACCACTTGCAGAATTTTTCTTAAGGACAGAAATAAACACGTACACCTCACAACACGGTTGCAAGGACAACCACTGCACCAATGCCCATTGTAAAAACTGCAATCAGAACGCCCAACCCGGGGCAAGGAATCCATGCGCCATGGCGCACCCCGCTTAGGCCTCAGGCAGTGGGATGGACGCCTGCCCCCCGCCCCCGCCCTGGCCATACCCCCTACCGGGCCTCAGTCTCCTCCTTACCCAGAGTCCACTTCCCACAGAGGCAGATACTGCTGGAGAACAGCTTTCTCAGGGACCTGGGTCAGCAGGAACCGAGGGGAGACGCAGGGCTTGGGGGAGTCCTCTTCACAGAAATGAGATGTGAGAGGAGACACGGCCCTCACTGCCGGTCAGATGCAAGTCTATGAATGTGAAGCTGAAAGTTACAAGAGCAGCTCTTACAATGAGGGAGAGAAGCTGAAGGCAAAACCGGCAAACAGGTTCAGGCAAACGAAGTGTCCTGAAGGGCGCCTGTGCACTGTATGTGAGGTCAGTGAGAAATGCCCCAGGCTACTGAGGTTCATTACAGCCAGACATTGTTACCTCTGGTCAAAAACATCCTGGCTGTTATTTACTGTATGGTAGAAGCCTCTAGCGCCTGTCGATTATGCCACAAACGCATGGCAACGACCAGATGAGCAGTTAAGACAATAAAAAGATAACACAACACTATGTTTCCATTTAAGAAAAAAAGTGTACTAATATGGATTCATGATGTATAAGAGTTTAAATGTTATAGGTAAGAGTTTAAATGCTTCCTCTTTGCATATTTGCATTTTCTATTCTTTTCTACAAAGAGCACTTACCACTTTAGGATTCTGATACCTTTTCTACTCCTTGAGTCAACCCAGTGCGATTTGGGGGGATGGGGGAGAAGAGGGAAACATATTCTAGTGAGCTATCCTCAACTGACAGCCTACTGTTTCTAATAGGAAAACTTGTTTCTTTTTAAAAACTGGTTTTTGAAATAAAATTTGATACTACCAGGCATTTATTTTTTTAGTGAATACAGAAGATTACAAACAGTTTTCATTTTCCTTTGTTACTCAGGGAATCCTATCATGACTTTGTACCATTTCGTATTGGAATTTCTTCTGTGAAGCAAAAACAGTCCCAAAATGAAGGATCTTCAGGGGTCATAGGAACAGCAGATGATATTAAATCATTAAAGGTGAGAATAGTGAACTGCCTCTGAGTTGGTTTCGAATCATCCGGAGATGGAACCTAAAAGGGAGAAGAAAAGATTACCTCATTGTTTTACCGCATGTTCACCTTACAATCAACTTCATGATTAGGAAAAAGCGAAACAAGACCAAATTATTACAGGTCAGTAATATTAAGTTATAACATAACAGGATTTCTCGATAACTGCAATCATCCCTCATGTCAGTGTTGCCAACATAACAAATTAAGAAAAGTTAACAACCTGGCCCTCAAACTTTTTTGGTTCATAACCTGTGGTATTTGTTTCAAATGTAGCTTTCTGAGCCACACATCCAAAAATTCTAAGAGATGAGTTAAAAGGATCCCCAAAATATGTCACTTTTAATATGCAGCGAGGTTTTTCTGATGAGGTGGGCCATAATGCAAACTTCTGAGACCTCTCCTGAGGGCAGATCTGATAAAGTTCCCATCAACACAGAGCACCTTTACAGGAAAAGATTTATTCAGCACTCAGTGTGACCTCAGTTTCAGATTCTCAGAGAGAGCCCCCGTTCACAACTAACCCAGTGGAGACCTTCTTTACCAACTCATCTCCTCTCTGAGGGCAGGGACATGGATTTCATACTGTACACTAACAAAGCCCAGTACAATTTTGCATGATTTATGTCTCACAGCTATGCTGATGGCACTGTTATCCCAATTTTACAGATGGGTAAACTGAGGCTCAGGAAGATCCAGCACTCTGCTAGCTCACCCAGGTTAACATGGCAGGCTTGGGCCTAGAATCCAGGTCTTCCTAACAGCATGCTTGTCCTTGAGAGACAGCCTATAGCGCTCTGCAGCATAAAGCTGAGACTTACCCACAGGGACGGGTAACCTGGGCCAGAACAGCTTCAGGTAACGTCCGCGTGTAACTAAGTTAATGTCCCCTGTAACTAAGTTATGAAGACTTTAATTCCTTGGCTAACGGATCAGAGGCAGGGTCTATGTGTGGAGCTATTATTCCAGTCCCACTATGGTGCCTCACGCGGGTTCCCTAAAAACAGGGACATGCACACAGCTCCGATTCTTCTAACTCTACCAGGATTCTTTAACACATCATTTCCGCAGAATCACAACTCTGTATGTGGAGGTCGAGGGTCCTTGACTGGAGGGTCTTTCTGTCTCATTTCCTCATGTAACAATTAACAGCAGAAGCAAGCAACCGCAGACTGTGATGGGAAGAACAGAGCCCCGTATTCTGCTCCAACATGACACACGGCCCCCATGCGTGTGAGCCTGTAGCTCTGGGAATAATTCAGGAGATCGCTATAAAAGGGGGAGGGGGCTCAACCTGCCAGATAATGCCATTACTGAGCACCCCTCAGCTGGTACCTTTCTATTCCACACAGCCCCAGGGCACCCGGAAATAAACCACTGCTAAGGGGACTAAGAGAGGGGCTATCTGGAGTTTCTATGGAAATAGAAGTATGAGGACAATACTAACAAAATTTCTCCTTTGTAATATTCTTGAATATGAAGAAACAGGTAATAGGCTCTTTAAAAATTTCTGTGAATTCCAAGATGATATTAAGGATTTGATAATGAAAAAACACTTCTAAATCCATAACCTTAAACAGACACCTCTAACCTGATAGAAACAGGATGATTGTTTCCATCAATAAATAACAAAGTCCACACTGATTCATGCTTTTTAGAAAAAAGTAAGAGAAATCTTAAAAATCTTACACCCTGATGTCTGGATCCATCCGGTTTCCTAAGAGCCACAGCAACAAAATGGTGCTCATCTATTTTGCTTTCCTGAAAAATAAATAGTAGTTAATAACATCACTAAATGTGCAAACTCAGATGTTCTTTGGTCTCTATTTTTCAATCTCCTTTCCCTCTCTCTCTGTATACACAGGCACCTGCCTCCTCTGACCCATTTATGACGTCACCTGGACTGTGGCCCCTTGCTTGTGAATAATACTTCAGTATGTACTTCCTACTTGGGACATTCTCTCATGTAACCACGCGAGTTAACAGCTTCAGGAAATTTACATTGAGACAAGAGCTGAATCTACCACCTGTATTGCAATGTTTGTGGCTGAATCCAGGAACGTCCCTTACAGCATTCCCCCCTTCTAGCACCAGAGCCCATCGAGGGTCAAAGTCTGCTTTCAGTTGTCCTGTCTTGCTAGCCCTTGTGTCTTTTACGACAACATTTTAAAATACAGGCCCCATTACTGTCCCTCCTTTATTAACAGAGCATTGCTTATTTTTCTTTGGTCTGATTATGCCTTTTCAACCAGAAAATGAACTAGACGGAGTGCCCTAGCTGGGGGCACATCAAGACAGCCCTCGACTGTCACTGGTGTTTATTCTGGACGTACTTCAAGCGCTCACGTAAAAAACTCAGACCGCAACCCTGGTTTGTAAGTATTTCGTGAACTATGGAGTACAGCCCGTGGAAACTCCGTGGGAACTCACAGGTAAGCCTGAAAGAACACGTGGTTTTCTGTCCTCTGCTAGGTCTGAAACGTGGGGATGGGGCTTAGAATAGGACAGATATTGAGGTAATAGTTTGGACGATTTTAATAGTTTCTAATAGTTTATAAGGATACTGCAGTTACCTCAATATAAATAATATTTATTATATATATATATAATAATATATAATACAAATTATAAATAAAACCACCCCAACTATTAAAGTTTCCAATGAAAAGCCACTTACTAAGGGATTCCTCCGTAAGATACCAGTCTGAAATAGGAAACTATAGTCAGAAATGGTATCTTCTTCGTATCTTCACACCTTAAGGTACCCAAATTAGCAAAAAATAAATGAGATTGAGTAAGGGACAGGTATGTTTAAAAGAAGAAAAAACTTAGTAGTGAAATGTCAGAAGACTGAACTTGTCAAAGGTGTTTTCCCTTTAATGAAAAGCAAGCTCACAATATTTGTAATTATAGACACAACTGCCCTTACTGATGCGCGGCCTTCCCTTCCTCACTGTGAATACACGGACACGTGCACTTCCTAACGCAGGAACCCTTCAGCTGTAATCACTTTTACAAAACCACTGACCACTTGGTAAGAGCTCTGTGGTGTCTACACTTGAGGGGACTATCAGAAGGAATCATGGGCAACGACCAGTCAGCCTTCTGTCCATCTGCTAGAACACCAGGATGCCCCGCTCGACCCACCTATACATCTCGCCAGAAGCCACAACTCAGTGACGCGATTTCAAAATACAGCTTCCTCCTACCTAATGAGACCTCATAAGCACCATGTAAATATGAAACACGACACAACAAACACGAAGAGACCGCTTGACAATGAGTGACTCAATCACAGTACACCCACACTTAGCGGGACGCTGCAACAGAAGCTCTGTGAGGGGAGAACTTTGCCGCTACGTCCTTTCTATCAAAGACGACACATACAAGAAATATCACATGAAACAAAAAAAAGGAAACCAGCAACTTAGCTACCTACTTAAACCAAGTTCATTCAGTGCTACTGAATTTAAGATTTAACTTCTGAAAACTTTCTAAATTTTCAAGACTTTCTCCTAAGCTTACAAATTTTATCCATAAAATTACTGTGAATATCAGAAATTCCCTATAATCTCCAACAAACCAAAAGGGAGAAAGAACATTTTATCTTTTTACGAGATAGTTTAGTGTAAAGATTACAAAGATCAATCATCTGCAGTGAGTGCATGTTACTTTCTTCATAACGTAGCCCATTTTTAAACAAAGACAAAAGTTTAAGCTGGAACTTAAAAATTCAAATTTTATAATTTTTTTCAAATGGCAAAGGTGAAAATGTATCTCTCCTAAATATTAATACTTCCAATTCTTTAAGCACTTTCCTTTCAATGCAAAGAATTTCTATTTCATCTAACCTCATCATTTGGAACTTTTTGGTGGTGACCTTCTATGGAAACTGAGAGCCTATAAAAGAGGACATCCCTCTTGACCTAAGATTTCATTTTTCTAGAGGATTATTTTTCCAGGTATGGAATACAATATTTAAGTGAAAGTCCTCTGTATTTGTTACAATAAATAATGGATTCTTGAGTATGTCCAAGCTAGCATTTTGGTCTATAATAAACTGAGCCGGGTCATAAAGAAAGGAAAAAGTAAAAGACAAAAAATGTCTTGAGTTTTCTAGTCCTGAATTCTAGTTATTTCTGAAGCCCTGTAAAGTGAATTCCTCTAATAGCCCATAATACTGCATTTTTGGCTTAAATGAGTTTGTGTTGGGTTCCTCTCTCTAATGACCAAGAATTGCTAGTGAGAGACCAAATATAGAGAGACCACAATCTTTAACCCGGCTAATTACGGCCACATGATCGTGGTCGTCTAACCTGGACTCTCTCTCTCAAATCCCCTCATCATGGGATTTCCCTTCCCATTTTACTGAACTCCCTGTGACTGACCTTTCAAGAATCAGCCTAAAATCCGTAGGCTCTCACAGCTTCCCTCACCCCTGCTCAGAGCACCAACAGTGGATTCCAGCAATGTCTCATTTCAATGACCAGACCCCAAACTCATCTTGTAGACATGCACACAATATGGAGAATCTTACAGTTAGAGCTAGTGTGATAAATTTCTTACTTCAAATGCCCATTCTTTTTCTTCTTCCCCATCCAGGAACAAACGTGTTTCCTTATAAACTTGGCCAATATCCAGATTTAATGGGGATATATCGAATTCAAGCCGTTGCAATTCAAAGCCTAGTCCAACACCAATGGCCTTTATGAAGCTTTCTTTCAGTGCCTAAAATACAGATATATTTTCTATTAGAGCACTCAGCAAGCAAAATTTTTCATAAACTTTACAGGCCCAACGCAACTAGAGTTTTAACTCTATGCTACATTAGGGCTGTAAATTACTACTATTTTGGGAGGCGCCTACGTGGCTCAGTTGGCTGAGCACCTGCCTCTGGTTCAGGTCATGATCTTGGAGTCCCGGGTTCACAGTCAGCGGGGAGTTTGCTTCTCTGTCTGCTCCCCTGCGCCCCCCCACCACCTGGCTCATGCGCTCTCTCTCACTCACTCTCTCTCAAATAAAATCTCAAAAAAAAAAAAAAAATACTATTTTTACACTTACAGTAGCAAAGAGACAAACCAGATATGTGATCTTAAGGTCAATCATTTAATCTCTTGGTGCCTCCATTCTGTCACATGTAACAGGAGATACTAATGATACTTTCCTCACAGCACTGTCATGATAATTAAATGAACTACCACGTGAAGAACATATGTTACATTAGAGCATATTACATTAGTGTTTGTTAAATAATATGTCTCCTGGCATGTAGCAAATACTACATTAGTGCTTGTTAAGTAAGGCCTCATGTATATGAGCTCCTTTGAAAACAAAAACATTAAATATTATTTAGAATTTAATACTTAATATTAAACAGTGATAAATAAAAGGTCTTGTTTTAACTTTAGAGCAGGTACCTTCTGAGAATTGAATATATATTCAATTTTCTTAAATGTGATTATAGCAATGATGCATAAAAATCATGAAGTTCCCAAGTAGTCACCCATTTATTCCAAACTCTAAGAACTACTGGGTAACCAAAGGACTTTTGCTTTTGTTTTTAGTGAGGCTAATGGATCACCCTAGGCTTTTATTCTCATAATTAGAAAGAAATTATACCCAGTTCCTGTAAAACATGTCAAGTTGAGTCCATTCATCCTTAAAGCTTCTGATCGTTTCCCATTCTTTGTTGGTGAATTTTCTTTTCATAATATGAAAGAACTCTGGAATTGAACCACGACCTGCCAATTGAGGAAACATAAAATTAAAAATAGCTATTCTGTTAACCAAAACTGTCAAAGAGCACAAAGAGAAAGCTACAGGTCAACCTTACTTTTGAATATAATCACAATAATCCTAAACAAAATGTCAGCAAATCAAAGCTGGGAATTAAAATAAGACTCAGTGACCAGCAGAGGTTAGCCCATAAACAGAAGCATAGTTTAAAAGAAATCATGAAATTCTGTGGAATATTAAATAATTAAGGGGAAAAAACCCACATATGGTTATATTAATAGATGCCATCTGAAAATATGATACAACTTAGCAGCCAAATGAGCTATAAATTCTAAGTAACTAGGAGGAAATTTCCTATATGTGGTAAAGTATCAGAAATCCATAAAAAACACTCTTAAGAGATACTCTCTAGGGTTTACATTTTTACTTTGCTACAGAACAGGAAAAACAAAAAGCAATTTCCTTATTGGAAGTTTTTGAGAACCAGGAGAAAGCTGAGGATCTTTGTTATTACTCTTAAGTCACCACTTTGCAAAATTAACATATGCTCATTTCCTTCAAAATAGTGCTCTCTCAACAGGTTTCCTAATTTGACATCTCCAATAGAAAAAGATTTTAATTTCTGTCTTTTCAGGGATGCTCCTGTGAAATAAGTGCATTTAAAAAAGAAAAAAAGAAACTGAGACCCAGTCCTAGTGCCTCTTTACAGAACATTCTCAACAGGAATAATAGAAGAACTCAGAGAATCCAATTCTCAGAATTAAGAGCTAAGATGCAAATTAAAAATACAACATGTGCCTTTCGTATTATATTTTTCCAAAATATGACTATGTTGTTTGTCTGCCTTTACCCCTAAGCAGGATGTTTCTATCATCATTCATTTACTTACCGTACAAATAAGCAGATTACGTATAAACATTACACAGACATGTAGAGACCTAATGGTTACAAACATCAGTCCTGGTTCCTGGCCTCACACACCGACAGCCCAACTGGCCCATCAGAGAGCCTGGCCCTAGGGAGATGAACCACAAACGTCTACTGTATGAATAAATGAACTTAGCCATTATTTGTTTACTTCCCAATGCCCTACTGCCCTATATCCTTCCTTCAAGACTACACATTTTGCAGAAATACCACCTTCTCATCAAGGCAGTCCCTCTGTAGATTGTGATAACATAGTTTATCTACTGTAACTCCAATTTCCATTTCCAGAATACCCAGCTCTAAAATCTGCGTACCCAACTGGCTGACCACCACTCTTGAAGTGACAGCCGCCACTAGACTCTCTATGGGCATTAGAAACTTGTCTAGGGAAAAAAGATGTCAAATCCCCCTGCTGAACCTTTCCCTGGCATTTCATTGCTAACTCACCCCATAAGGATTCAACAGCTGGGTTCCTATGACGATCCTTTCCCCTGAAAAACATCCCAGTGCTAGATGCCAGGGACATGCCAATGAGCAGAACAGACCCGCCCTCACCTCCACAGGGGGCTTACAGTTTCTCCTGCAGTAACCATCTACCATTCCCAAAGTTCTGTCAAGGGCAGAACCCCATAAAATCCAATTCTTCCACACGACTGTTTATGATTCCCCTACCATTCCCACTTCAACAGTCAACAGTCTCTTCCTGTTAAGCCAGGAAATATTTCTGATGACCCTACAATGAGTGACATGTGGTCCTTTACAAATCAAAACAAACACTCATTTATTTTCAAGTTCGTCAGACTCATTTTAATTCATCTGTCTACTCCCTGGCACTCTATTCCTCTCAAGAAGAATACCTTTGAACACATTTTATGAATTACTAATAATTACTGTCTGTATCTATTCATATTGTTAAAAGACTGCTATTTCCTAAAATTAGCCCAGCAAAGCTATAAAGTCATTTCATGTAACAGCACTGAAATAGTAAACTGATCTATAAGTCCCAGGGAAAGGGATTCTTCTTCAGGCCATGGACCCCTTACTCTTCAACACCTTCTTTAAGCCCCTGAATAAACACGGTCTTGTTAAAAAGCAAAGAGAGGGGCGCCTGGGTGGCTCAGTGGGTTGGGCCGCTGCCTTCGGCTCAGGTCATGATCTCAGGGTCCTGGGATCGAGTCCCTCATCGGGCTCTCTGCTCGGCAGGGAGCCTGCTTCCCATTCTCTCTCTCTGCCTGCCTCTCTGTCTACTTGTGATCTCTCTCTGTCAAATGAATAAATAAAGTCTTAAAAAAAAAAAAAGCAAACAGAACTAGTACATACTGGCTTGAGAAAGAACACGCTTAAGACAGCAGGCTTGCAAAACTGACAAGAGAAAAACTGTATATTTTAAATGCTGGGAGTGTTGTTATCTACATAAATCATCAACTGTTTCCTCTTTAATAGATCCTGGCACAGAGCAATAACAATGGGGAAAAGCTACCTTGGATTTGGGAGACAGCACTGCATATTTTGAGTAGAACTGTAGTTTTAATGGAACACTACCCAAAAAGCCATATTTAAAAATACATGCCTGTTGTCAACTATACTGTCATTTTGTTTGCTGGTTTCTTCATAACCTTCAAAAAGCCCTCTGATTTTTTTAACTAAATAAGATGGGGCAATCAAGAAAGAAAAAAGATTTAAATATGCATGCTAATAAAAAACAAACTGATTAACATAAAAAGCAATCTAGCACAATCACTGAAAGCAATCACAAACTGATTATGTACAGCTAAAAAAGTATCCAATGAGTGTGTTTTCATATACTTTTGAGAGCATTTTATCCATTCCACAAAATAAGAGATTTGAGAGCAACAGGAAAATAGGATTTTGTAAATATTCAGCCAAAGCACGACAGCGCCACGGTGTGGCCCTGTGGTGGCAATACATAGTGGGGAACAGTCTGTCTAGGAAACTGGAATTTAAAGGAAAAAAACAAAAAACAGTATGAAATACCAGAACAACACACCTGTCCCTCAGACTATGTGAAGGCAGCACAACTAGCAGCCATATAATCTGGCAAATCTTCCTAATACAATCTTCGATTTAATCATACTGGATATTTAAGAATTTACATATAAAGATAAAATGACTCAAAAATGAACATCGTTCTAGACTAACCAAGTTTACAGAAACCAGATCCCCCCGCCCTTGTAGCGTAAACTTCAGGAAAAGCAGTATTAGATATTCACCGTTCCACAATGACCAGTTACTCAAGACTACAGAGCAACTGGGAAGTTCATTGAACAATTAAACATACAGTAACAACCTACAACCAAGTAATTTATATTAAGTGCCTCCAGCTGCTGTTGCCAGCCTATGGAAAAAAATCCTATTAGTGCCACAACCGACATCAATCTGTCCCCCAAACAAGGTCACTAATGTGTATCTGGACCAGCATCTCAGCTGAAGTTCACCTTTCTTCCTTAAAGAAAAGGGACTGGTTATTGGGGCAGGGGAGAGCAGGAGCTGAGCAAAGTCCAACGCGCGTAAGAAAAACAACATTTAGTTTTTGATAGTAAGTCATATTAGAAATTCCAGTAGTGTCATTTTCTAGATACTGGATTACATACATTTTCAATTCCATGGGAGGGGACAGATTTCTAAAATCTGAGTTAGTATGTACACAATGATGTGTGATTTACAAGCTTACCTGTTTGGGAATTTATCCAGACACAAACCCAGAACAAAGCAAACTGCACGAGTGACTCCTACTGGGTTTCACAAGCTCATGGGCAAAGCCTCTCCCAGCTTCCAGACAATGGAGCTCTGGGGACCCTTCCCAGATGTGCTGTAGGGCAGAAACACTGGACCGAAAGGCAGCTACCTGGGCTGAAGCCCTCCCTGTCGGTAGCCCTGAACCCTGGCTGTTCTCCCTGTTTCTGTGAATGCTCTTTTTTCAACACACACGTGTCAACACACACATAGGAAATGGGCCTACAGAGCCAGGACAGGATTCTGTGGCTGTAAATGTGCTTTCTTTTAGAGAATCTTTTTTTTTTTTAAAGATTTTATTTATTTATTTGACAGAGAGAGAGATGTCACAAGTAGGCAGAGCAGCAGGCAGAGAAAGAGAAGGGGAAGCAGGCTCCCCGCTGAGCAGAGAGCCCAACGTAGGGCTCGATCCCACGACTCTGGGATCATGACCTGAGCTGAAGGCAGAGGCTTAACCCACTGAGCCACTCAGGCGCCACTATAAATGTGCTTTCAAGGACCCTGAAGGCAAGGTGGAGGGGCAGGAGGGTGAGGCCGCCCCAGGGACCAGAACACTGAGCATAGAGACCCCAGGGACTAGTTGCAGACCTTGAAACCTTAGATCATTTGCCCTGCTGGGTTGCACACTTGCTTGGAACCCATGCCTCCCTTTTATCTTCCAACATCTCCCCTTTGAAGTGGGAAAGTCTACCCTACACCTGTTCCACCACCCAGTCACAGGAGGAGATGGTCGGTTTTCTAGCTGAACAGGCCCGCTGAAGAAAGAGGAGTACTGCCCCACCAGGGAGCATACCCAGCCTCACCTCTACCTGACTTAGATCACTCAGATGATGACATCTGAACTTTCTGAGTTGAGGATGTTCAGAAGAGATCTTGGAGTCGGATGGAATAGGCTAAGATCTGGAGAGGCTGGGATGGGATGACTTTATTTTGTATGTGGGACAGACAGAAACTGGGGAAGGGGGAGGCAGAGGATGGACTGTGCTGGGTTGAACAGTGTCTCCCCCAACTCATGCCCACCCAGAACCTGGGAAATGGACCCTTCCATGCACAGGGTGCAAATGTTATCAAGCCAAGAAGTCGTCACACTGGGTCAGAGTGGGCCCCGTGTCTAATGACTGCCATCTTTCTGAGGGGACCACTGAGGAAGGGATGCAGGAGAGAAGGCCGCGCAAAGATGAAGGTAAAACCAAAGTGATGGAGCTACAAGCCAAGGAACGGCGGGGGCTGCCGGGGGACCAGGACGGGGTGAGGAAGGATTCTTCTCTGGAACAAGAGAGGGAGCGCGGTGCCGTCAGCACGCTGACTCGCGGCTCTCAGAACA